GTCGCCAGCCGATATACAAGTCAGTGATTTTTCCTCCCAGACATGCCTAAGGCTGGTATCAGAGTGCGCGATCCGCCGCGACATTCGGAATCGCAAGTGCCCCATTTGAACATTTCGAAACACTGAATATGAAAACAAGTAGAATCATGAACAGTCGTCATTCAATCATCACCATCAAGCAGAAATGGCGGCGGGATTGGAGAGCACCTTCGCAGTATTGATCGGGCACTTGATTTCTGCCATCCGTCGCGCGAATCGCGCGAATTGGCGACGGATCGCGGACTCTGACACCAACCTTATGATAATCAACGGATTCCGGAGGAATGGAGTGCTTTGTGGGTGCTAACTTAGTTGGGGGGGGGCCACGCGGCGGCGCGGCAGTCTGCTCGCCTGGCATGTTCGGAAATCCGTGGAGCCAGGGGGAGTGTAGGCAGTCTAGGGGGGTGGGGGTGGGGCAGTCACTTGACATGCGTGAAAAGCTGGAATGTTCGAGTTTACACTGTCTCGCTCGAGAGAGCGCCAGGCGAGCAAACTGCCGCGCCGCCGCGTGGCCCCCCCAACTAAGTTAGCACCCTCTATGGCTCGGACGACGTATGACCGAGGACATATTCACCGGACCCGCGCACACCAATAGCAGTAGACTTGCCACTACACCATATGCCTTAAGTGGGACACAACGAATAAATGTAGAAGTGTACATTAAATAGGTTGCGGCTGATTCAAGCATTCCAGTTGTTCCATATGCCTTTCCACGCCTTCAAAAAGCGAAATTGTGGTTTGACGCCTTTACAAATTGGTAAGAGATAAATTACGAGGGCTTGGCTTATAGCCGTTTTGCCGGGTTGAAATCCGCCACGAAATTTCTATTTACCCAGTTTAAAGGAATCTTCCACGGAAAAAGCTCCGCCCTCATTACCACAGAAAACGATACCTTAAAGGAATCTTCCACGGAAAGAGTGTCTTGTGTGTAGGATTAGTATTATCGAAACTAACGCTTATGTTCCGTTCTTTTTGCTATGCTCATGAGGCTAGGGGCCTAAGGGGTATCGTTTTTCTGTGGTAATGGAGGCGGAGCTTTTTCCGCGGAAGATTCCTTTAAGCACTCTCGGCACTTAGCAATTATTAGTTTCCTGCCACAGGAAAGAACGTGTAGGATCTGCAATAAGCTAACTAGAGCCACTAAATAGATTGCTACAACACTACATCTTGGTCCATATTTTTAGAACACTTGAGCTATCTTTGGACATGAATTTTTCATTATTTTTTTGGCTCGTTTATTCAAAACAATATATTATACAGGGAGGAGGCGGAAAACAGTATTTAGCCCATGCATATCAGTGACTTACTTTCCATCGCACAGAGTGCCGGTTAATAGAACTCTTACAGCAAAATATTCCTAAAATGCTCCTCCACAAGTGGACGCCAGTCCACTGCTCTCACCGCCTTCGGAATATAACATAATCTGTCATCGTCGTCAAGTTCAGAGACCTGCCAGAATGGCTTCAGCCTGATGCTGCTACAATTTCTTGGATCGATTCATTGGTGGATAGCTAACCTCCCCTTCAAAAAGCGAGAAAGTGTCGGGTGCAGACCAAACACCACAACTGACGACGGCCTCCAAGTAAATCTGGTTAGAAGTTGTTCATAGTGATAGCTGATTTCTGGTAAATGATAGTTGTAATTAGTGACAATCGATAGAATACAACTGCAACAGGCTAATCATTTCATTGGCAGAAAACATTAACATTTTGTGAAGGCCGTCGTCAATAATACATTTAAGCAATTCCGCCGTGAATGGCTCCAAGGAGCTGGCATGGTCTGAAGAAAGAACCTCCCAATCCGTCAGCAGTTTTTATTCACTGTCCTCTTAAGAAGCAAGATGTTACCACAATAAAAAAGTTTGGTGAAACGGAAGTGAAAAATAATAGAAAAACATGAGGTGGAGTTATAATTTTGGGACGTCGGCCAAGTGGCCTTTTGAACAAAAATTATTAGAAAAAATTCCTGGGATCTCAAGTTGGAAGTTGATGTTATAGGCAATTTCGTATTTGTATTTGACACATTCACATTGGAGACTTTTTCTAAAACATCTAAATTTGTGAGATTTTGGGAAATTTTGAGGTGGAATTATAATTATGGGACGCAGTGTACTTACGGTGAGAACGCTTGCCGGCAAGAGCTTGAATTCAGTGCACATCAGTTTCATGTTTGCTGTGAGTATAGCTGTATCAAATTCAGTGAGCCATCATAGCTAGGCGATCAAGGAAACTAGTTGAGTTTTTTTTGTAAAGACTCACCTGGTGGTCCTCGTTCACCCCACATTCCCATGTTACCAGGCGGTCCTGGAGGACCTTGAGAGCCCGAATTTCCCTGGTTCGCCTGCTTTTCCAGGTTCGCCTTTGTAGCCTTGTTGACCGGGTTCACCTGGTTCACCATGGAGACCTTTGATGCCCATCACACCATCCAGGCCGGGAGTTCCTGGCTCTCCTTAACATAACAACGATCATCGATCACAAAAACAATTGATTAGAAAAGTCAGAAAGTTTGCAAATTAGAAGGAATTGCTAAACATGTCAAGGTTTGCTAAAATTTTTATAATCCTTTTGAAGTTTCAACTGGAGTTAAAAAAAGGATAAAGTATTCGACGTTGATTCCCGTTTTGGAGATGCGCCACGCATTCTACTTCCATTTGTACATTCGTAGTGGCAATTTGAATGCGATGTGGCCTATACAATGACTTGCGGGGCCAGCCGATGTACAAGTCAGTGTTTTTTCCTCCCAGACATGCCTAAGGCTGGTATCAGAGTGCGTGATCCGCCGCGACATTCGGAATCGCAAGTGCCCCATTGAACATTCGAAACACTGAATATGAAATCAAGATCAGAGAAGAAAGGTTGATTTATGAACAGTCGTCCTCCAATCATCACTACCAAGCAGAAATGGCAACGGGACTGGAGAGCTCTTCGCACTATTGATCGAGGCACATCGATTTCTGCCATCCATATAGCGAATCGCGCGAATAGGCGACGGGACTCTGACAACAGCCTTATAATAATCAACGGATTCCGGAGGAATGGAGTGCTTTGAGGCTCGGACTCGCATGACCAAGGACTTATTCCCCGGACCGCGCACACGCATAGCAGCAGACTTGCCACCACACCATCCGCCTTAAGTGGACCATAACGAATAAATGTAGAAGTGTACATTAAATAAATTGCGTCTGATTAATAAGTCGTTTCATATGCCTTTCCACGGCTTTCAAAAAACGAAATTGCGGTTGACGCCTTTACAAATTGGCATGAGATAAATTACCAGAGCTTGGTGGTAACTGCTTTGAGATAAATTACAAGGGCTTGGTTTGGGAACTGCTCTTTGAAGAGGTGGAGAGACGTGATCAAGAAGGATCTAAGTGAAGTCATGGCCACAGCAGAGGACGCCCTGGACAGATTAAAGTGGCGACGACTGACAAAGACAGCGGACCCTGCGACTGCGCGGGACTAACGCTAGGGAGAAGAAGAAGAAGAAGAGAAGGTTTGGAATACTGTTTTGCAGGGTTGAATAGCAACCGAAATTGTCTGGCTCTGCCAGGAAACCCTCTCAGCCACTTAGCGTTTTTAGTTCCTGCCACAGGAAAGAACGTATAATATGTGCAGTAAGCTAACGAGAGCCACAAAATGGATTGCTACAATACTACATCTTGGTCCATACTCTTAGAAACACTTGAGCTATCTTTGGACATGAATTTTTCATTTTTTTTGGCTCGTTCATTCAAAACAATATATTATACAGGGAGGGAGGCAGAGAAACAGTATTTTTCCATGCATATCAGTAACTGACTTTCCATCGCACAGAGTGCCGGTTAATAGAACTCTTACAGCAAAATATTC